AGCCTGAGCCAGAGCGAGACTCCTGTCTCTAAAAATAGCAGAGTGTTGTGCTGGGTGCCTGTAGTTCCAGCTACTTGGGAGGCTGAGGCAAGAGAATTGCTTGAGCCCAAGAGTTTGAGGTTGCTGTGAGCTGATGCCATGGCACTCTACCAAGGGAGACAAAGTAAGACTTGGTCTCCCCCCGCCCAAAAAATTAAAATGTCATCCATTTACTTCAACATTTGGTAGAGGGACCCACTTTTTACTTGCTATGTGTGTGCTGAGGAGGGGCTCAGGCCCTTCTCTGTTTGGATTCCACCAGCTCTCACCCTGGGCCCCTGGGCTCCTGGCCCAAGAGCACCTTGTTTTGGATTCACCCAGACTGGCTGGGCTCCCAGTCTCCCCTGCCCCCACCAACTGATTAGATAGGGAGAGAGCTGGCACTTGCTATCAGAAGCTCAAGTACCACCCAATCCCCTCCCTGTGCTCATTGGGACTGCTCCAGCACCTCCTGCTCCTGGGGAGGCCCTGTGCAGGAATGCTGACTCCAATAGACTGTCTAGCTCTGACCCAGCCCACCCAGGAGTTCCCATCCAAAGTTTACCTTCTTTTTTTTGACAGAGTCTCACCATGTTGCCCTTGGTAGAGTGCTGTGGCGCCTCAAACTCTTGGGCTTAGGCGATTCTCTTGCCTCAGACTCCTAAGTAGCCAAGGTTTACCTTCTTGAGGAAGTCCTCCTGCCCTCCTTAGCTGCTAGGGGCTGACCAATAAGGTAAATACAGATGGTGCAGAAAAAAGTATACACATTTTAAGAAAGAAAAAACTACATTAAATTTGTAATATTCAATATATACCAATAACTAAAGATGAATACAAGTCATGTTGAGCACCTCTTACAGTTGCAGAAGTCAAACATGACTTGAGTATTACAAGTTCAATAGTTTTTTCTTTTCTTAAAATGTATATGCATGTTTTTGGTATCCTCTGTACTTTGAAATGACCACCACCGATTCCCGGGTAAAGTTATATTTGAAATACTTTTGTGGGATTCCACAGTTTCCTTAAGCTTTTTCACTGGGATCTGAGGAGGAGGGTAGGCTGATGAGGGAGGGCTGAGCCCCCCACCCCTACTGCCACTCCCACAGGAGGGAGGGCCTCAGGGCGTGAGCATGGCAGCCCTTGAGGACACCTGGTGGTGGTGGGACACTGACCTCAGCAGAGGGACTTGCTGTCCGGGAGAGGCCCTTACAGATAACACATTCCACAGGCATACCTAGCCCAGATCCTTCTCGGGGTGGCAAAAAAACTGCCTGGCAGCCTGTGGGGCCCGTTGTTCATCACAGAGGGTCCCCTGACAGGTTCCCCAGAAGGACCAACACTCTGTCTGTGGTGGTCCACAGCCAAGATGCAAGCCTGACCCACCTTGGGCAAATACCAGGCACAGCCCTGGACTCTTCTGGAACATAGGACCAGCCATAATAAAGAAAGGTGGGGCTGGTCTAGTCTCATGACACCTGAAAGAAGCAGAAGCTCTGGACCAGGTCCTGGTCAGGTCAACTGGGGTGGCAGGAGTCTGTATGACCATGGTTCAGTGTTACTGGTGCTATGGAAGGGTGTAAGAGCTGGAAACAGGTCTTTATCCCTAGAAGAGCTGGCTGGAAAGGGAGGAGTGAACTGCCTTCTCGTGTCTGGAACTAATGTTCAAATGGGTAACAGAATGGCAGCTGCGTGGGTATAGCTGGGAAGTGCCATAGGCACGTGCTGAGGCCCTGACCTGAGGAACTCAGAACATGAGCTTGTTAAGGAGTAGAGGAGGTCACGCTGGAATAGGAGGCCCTAATCCAATATGACTGTGTCCTAGAGAGAGGAGAACCTGTACAGGGAGCCACATGTGAAGACAGAGGCAGAGATTGAGGTGTTGCTTCAGCATGCCAATGGCAGTAGACCCCAAGGGCCAGGGAGAGGCAGGAATAGATTCACCCTCAGCACCTCAGAAGGAACAGGGGCTGCCAACACCTTAATCTTGGATGTCCAGTCTCTAGACTGTGACAGGACACATTTCTGTTGTTTGAGGCGCTCAATCTGGGGCACTTTGTTATGGCAGCTCTAGCCAAGTAACCTGAAAGCAAATGTTCCCATATTATCAATTAGGGATGCCAGCTGCAGGATGTTCATTATTGTGCCCTTTACCTCTTTTCCATATAATATTTTTCAAAATAGTATGTTGGAAAAAATAAAAAAGTTGGGTTTTAAAAAAATTTGTTATGGGCTATGCTGGATGGTTTCCGAAAATGACCTGTTTTAATTCTGAGGACGCCATGGGGCAGGTATTATGATCCCCAGAGCAAAGGTGAGAAAATAGCAAAGAGGCAAAGAAGTTACAAAGCTCACAAATCAGCTTTCACCTGCACCCCTATTTACTCTCTTGCACTAGGGCAGGGTCCAGCAAACCACTGAGTTTGGGATATCTCAAGTAAAAAGCACCCTCAGAGGGGATGATTAGCCATGGGACTTACCAAAATAATCAATATAGTGAACAAATTCAGAGGGCAAAAAGCTGTGTCATGGCACAAAACCCCTGCAGCCAGGGTGGCCAAGTCTGGGATAGCACGGAGAGAACACCAGTGATACACGTGTACCTTGATGAGCTACTCTGTGTTGGGTATTCGAGGTGGGGTAACCAAGGCATGCTGATTCTAAGAATACCCCCAGGTAATGAGTAGAAGCGGGAGAGTCTGGCTGCAGAAATCTTGCTCTCATCTTTCCCTACTCTGTGGAACCATCTTGAGGACATGACACACAAGCAGGGCCGCAGGGGTGAGTCATGGTTCCCCTCTATGCCTTGGTGCCTCCTCCCTGGCCGACTGAATCCTTTCTGTACTTGAGCTTAGTCTCCCCCCAAAAGGCCACAGGCTCTCAGACCATCATCTCCAGCTCTGGTTTCACCATCAAGTCCTGAGAGAGACCCATGGGCCTTTCTTGGAGGGCCCAGGGCTGAGCTGAGGAGAAAAAGGAGGGCCCCAGGGCAAGGAAGCCCTAGCCACCTGCAATAATGGAGGTGGAAGCCACAGAAGACTGAGGGGCTTTTGGGAGTCAGCACAGCCCCAAGGATGCCCCTCATCTTATCCCTTCATTGGCCATCACCCCAGGCCTAGAGTGGGGAAAATAATGCTCTCCAGGCCTTGGTGTCCCTCCTGCAGGCTGGTCAGCTACAGAGGGCAGGTGGGAAGTGAAGGACTGAGTGCAGGGGGAGGCCCAGAGGTATGTGGCACCAGAGGAGGTAGACAGTTTGACCAAGGGCACCAGGTGGGCAGTCTATACATGGTTCTCACGGCCAGCACAGCTGCACCCTAGGCCCCGCGCTGCCTCCAGACTAGCAGAGGATCTTAAAGCAATGCTCAGCACTGTACACACTGCAGTCCTGGCCTGAAGTCCTAGAGCCACATTCCCTGCCAATGAGGACATGTTGAGGGACAGATGAGCAATCTTTACCGGAACAGTTATACTTTCGATACCTTGGGAAAATGTCATCAATTCATCTGAACTTTGATGTCACAAAGCCAAGCTCAGTCTACAGGACAACATAACTAAGGACAGTGGGCAGAACCCTAGCACAGAGCCACAGGCGCCAAGGTGTGGTACTCTGGCCAGCCTGACCTACTGTCCCATAGTGAAGGACACTGGTTTGCCTTGCTCCATAGGAAGCTGACAACCAGCTAAGATAGGACAGAGGCTCAGACTTTCCAGAGCGGAGATGGGTGGTACCTGTGGCTCAAGGAGTAGGGCGCCAGCCCTGTATGCCGGAGGTGATGGGTTCAAACCCAGCCCTGACCAAAAACTGCAAAAAACCATTATATCCAGAGCAGAGAGAGGAATCAGGTTTGGATTCAAGGCCCAGGGAGGGCATGTCACCTCTATAAAGCCACAAAGCACTGGGCAAGCAGCCATGCTGGGCTGCCTCAGGGCTGGCCCCACAGAACCCTCCCTACTCGCCAGCCAGTGACTGATGTAGGAGGTTCCTCCAGATCCCCCATTCCAAGTCCCCCTGACCCCACATACCTAGAAGCCATCCTGGCCGCCACCCCAGCTGCAGCACAGCCCACACGACAGGCCAGGGCACCTGTGGGGTCCACATGCCCAGCGCACCAGCCCGCGCCTGCCCCCGTAGCTGCCTCCTCCTCCTCCTCCTCCTCCTCCTTGGCTGCTCAGACAGACGTGACAACGGAAAGGAAACTGTCCCAGGTCAGGGCAGAGGGAAGGCACGCCCCTTGCCCCACCCCCTCTTCCTCCAGCTCCCTGTGGGCGGGAGGCAGAACCGGTGGGGGAGGGCATAGGGATAGGGGAGGAGGAGAGACAAATGGAGAAATGGGAGAGACAGAGACAGAGAGGGGAACAGGAGGTGGGGGAGTAGGTGGCCCAGATGCCCCTGCCCACGGGAGGTGGGGGGTAATCTCTCAAGCGCAGGGCTCCCTTCCTTGCGTAGTTTTGTTTCTCTGCTTATTTTTTTGCCGCTTCCATTTCCCATCTGAGCTGCCCTGCTCAGTGCTGGGAGACTGGCTGGGAGGCCTACATGATGGAAGGTGCAGGGCCTTCTCACCCACTGCCTCTGTGGGGCTGGTCTCTTTCCCCCCATCCCTACCCCGGGCTCATTGTTAGGGAGCTATAAGAGTAGTGGTCTTCCTTTCTGTCTGCTGGGTGCTGGGTCCTGAGCCTCTCTTAGCTCTCTGGGCCTCATCATTCAAGCCCCTGTTGTGGGTGAGTGACTGGTCAGGCCTCTGGTCCCCCTAGGGTTCTGGGGTACAGATGGCCCTGCTGAATGGCAACTGTCTGGGGGCAATCCCCACACCAGGCTGTGGGCAGATCTTTCCATGGCCACATGCCTCCTGATGGCCTCCAGGGGGTGGGGGCTTGATTGTAGGGGGTGGATTTCCTTATATGCCTTGACCAGCCTCCAGCCTACTTAGGTTGGGGTGGGGGTGGGGTAAGGGGGGTGATCCTGGGCTGTGCAGGGCCCAAACCTGGCTGAACAGCCCTCTCATTTGAGAACAAGTTTGGTTATTTCATCACACTCTGCTCTAAGCATTTTATTACAGTGAATGGAAAACAGGAAAAATGAAACTGCTGATATTAGTGATGAGGTGCGTGGGTCTCATCAGCCCAGAGGCGGAGTTGGAAACCGCCTCACAGCTGTGTGGCAGCCCCAACTCAGAGACACACTGCAAAGGGAAAACATTAAAGAACACCGAAACAGTGGAAAAAGAGCATCAAAGAAGTCTGTGAGGCGACCCAGATGAGGAAGCTTGAGTTTATGAGCAAAAGGCCACTCAGCGAGAGTCTCAGCGACTAGGCGCTGTGTAGGTGGTACAGAGGGTGGGAGGCGGGTCCTGCCAGCCAGGTGGGCTCAGCCGGTGCCTGGCGGGGGCACCTGGCAGGGGTCACTGTGCCTGTTAGACAAGTGGGACTGCAGTGGGTCTCTTTACATACCCACTCTTGTGCAACCCCAGGGGCCTGGAGGGGGGTCATAGGTCTCTGGGCTGGGGGTGCATGGGGCATCCTCCAGGACCTCTGAGCCTACTCAAGTCAGGCAGTGGTATTCACAATCTCTGTCCTAGTTCTGAGGACAGTTTTGCTGCCGCTGGCCCCCCAGAGTGGGAGCCTCTGGGTCCCACAGGAAGGCTCCAGCCAATTGAGATAGATTCTGGACACAACCTGTCCCCTTAGGACTGAGGTTATCAATGTTTGATGTTTATTTATTTATTTTAAAATTTCAGATTAGGTACAAATGGTTAGGTTAATGTTTGCATTTGTTAGGTAGGGTCCCTGTTGTAGTTGTGTTCCAGGAGGTGTGCCATGTACCCCTACATGTACTCCCATTAGGTGGGAGCTCACCAATCCTCCTTCCTCCTCCCTGCATATTTTTGATGTTTAATCTCAGTTCCAGCTCAGCCATAGGGCCTTCCTGGGAGACCCCCCCCCCCCACTGCCATCTCCCACCTCTTTCTCTCTCTCTCCTCCTTCCTGTCCCATCCTGCTTCCCTTCCTTCCCCTTCTCTTCCCACCTTCTCTTTCAGTCTTTCTTTCCCTCATTCTTCCTGAAGTCTCCTTAGGGCAATAGGAGAGAGGTCCTGGTGGGGGTGGGCTCAGCATGAAGCCAGAGTTTGAGACTGGGCAGCCTTGTTTGGTGACCCTGTATCACTGCCACTAGAGCTCCTGAAAAGGGACGTGTGGACCTGAAAGGTCTGGGGGCTGCTGGGGGTCTGGGGTATGAGTCTTGAGGACACAGCCAAGGTGATAAGGATTGGCTGGGCCCTGGGCCTGGCCTGGTGGGCTGGGACCTCGAGGGGCCTGCACCCCAATGTTGCATTCCTGGCCCCTTGCCAGTGTCCTCCAGCACACACAGACACACAACCCCTAATTCACACAATCCCCAATACAGGCATAACACACAATCCCTAACACAGACACAACCCCCAACACATACACCCCTGACACAGACACAATCTCCAGCACACACAATCCCCAACACAGACACAACCTCCAACACACAACCCCCAACACACACAACTCCTAACACACATATACAATCCCCAGCATACGCACTATTTATTTTTTTGTTTTGAGACAGAGTTTCACCATGTTGCCTTCAGTAGAGTGCTGTGGCATCACAGCTCATAGCAACCTTAAATTCTTTGAGCTTAAGCAATTCTCTTGCATCAGCCTCCCAAGTATCTGGGAACTATAGGAACCCACCACAATGCCCGGCTAGTTTTTAGTTGTACTTGTCATTATTGTTTGACAGGCCCAGGTTGGGTTTGAACCTGCAATTCTATGTATGTGGCTGGCACCCTAGCCACTGAGCACAGGTGCCGAGCTGCACACACACTATTCTTAACACATATCCCAAACCTCTGCCTCACACACAGCAGGGGTCTCTTATCTTCTATCACCAGAAGATGAAGATGTGTGGGGAGGGGGGCTGGATGGGGATGGGGGCATCTCGGGCTGGTTGGACACTCCTGCCCCTGCCTAGGCTCCTTTCTTCACCTTTCATGAGGATGGGCTCAGTGGTCCCAGAAGGGCTGCTCAGACCCTGTGCTTTTCTTTCCTACAGACAGCCACGCTCCCTCCCAATATTGAGGCCTGGGACTGGGGTGGATCTTATCTGCAACAAACGGGGAAGTTGGGGTACTTGTTGATTTATTTGCCATTTTAAGAAATTATACAGATGTTCCCTTGCATACTTTCCTCAGTGTCTCTCAATCATAACAGTTTGCAAAACTACAGGACAATGTCACAACTATGTTGGCGACTTTGGTAAGATCTACTGACCTTACTTAGCATTCCCAGTGCTGCCTGGGTTCTTGGGTTTGTGTGTATCTAGGGTTACACAATTTTAGCACAAGCAAAGACTTGTGTGTCCCCTCCACAGTGAAATTGCAGAGCACTTCTGTCACCACATACTCATACTCACATCCCTCCTGGCAACTAGGCCTCTGTCCTCCATGTCCACCATTGTCTCATTTCAACAATAGTAGACAAGTGGGATGATGCAATCTATGTCCTCTTGGGCTTGACTTTTCCATGTAGCATTGCTGCCTGGAGCTCCACTGTGTGTTTCAGAGGTCGGCTTCTATCCCTGATGACCTGTATGGCCTCTGGTGTGGACATGCCACAGTTTGTTCAGCCATTCTTCTTGTCAGGGGGCTATGAAGACCCCAGCCCCAGTTGGGTTTTCTCTGTGTGCTACTAGCAAGTGGCCCCCAAACTTGAAAGCACTTTGACTCAGCCATCACTAAAAGAGGAAACCCAGGAACAGCAGAGCTGGTGCAAAAAGGGAAAGTTACACAGTAAAGCAAAGCACAGCAAATTAGCAAAGTTTTATTTCATAGGATATACTTAGATTTATAAGCAGATACAAGTTTATAAGCAAATAGAACACACCTAAGAGAGGTATGAGTCTCTTCCTTGTGAATGAGAAAGAAACCCTTACAAACTTTTCCCCTTGTATTTATTCCCTAATTCCTAGCTTTGCTCTACCTACTTCTAATGTTTATGCATTTCTTTTACCGAGGGTCTTGATCAAACTGACTCTACATTATTCTGAACTTCCTTTTTTTTTTTTTTTTTTTTGAGACAGAGTCACCTTCAGAGTGCTGTAGTGTCACAGCTCACAGCAACCTCAAACTCTTGAGTTTAAGTGATTCTCTTGCCTCAGCCTCCCAAGTAGCTGGGACTACAAGTGCCCACCACAACACCCGGCTATTTGTTGTTGTTGTTGTTGTCGTTGTTGTTTTAGCAGGCCCAGGTTCGGTTCAAACCCATCAGCCCCGGTATCTGTGGCTGGCGCCCAAATCACTGACCTATAGGCGCCAAGCCACTCTTTAGTAACTTCTTCTTTGGAAAGTCTCTTAAGTTATTAATAGGTCATTGATTCATTATGGGATGCTGGCTAGCTTCTTTAAAAAATTTTTGCTGATCAAACCTTCTGTAGGGGTTTTAGAAGTTGAGCAGTGCCAGAATTTTAAAACTTTCTAACTATAATCTTGCCTAGTTCTGCTTTTGTAGTAGCTCAGAATAGTCTATCACCCTACTCTGCTAATGTCTAAGCTAAGGAACCATCTGTTGCCTCTGACTCAATAATTATCTGTTTTTCTTTTCCTTCTTATTCTGTTCCCAACCTGTCCCTACCACTTCTCTTCACCTACATGTGGGCAGATTCCAGTTCTAGTTGATTATGAGTAAAGCCATGGAAATTCTTTGTAGGACAGGGCACCTAGGAAACCACATGGGGCCAGGCAAGAGCTCTAGGACAGCTTCTTAAGACAGGGGTCTTGCTCTGAGGACACTGGGCCCACCCAGCCTTCTGGTCTGAGAAGAGGACCTTTAGCATTTCCAAGGTGTTGGCCTGAAGGTTCCATGTGACACCCAACACATGGCAGCTGGTGAGGAAGGGCAGCATGTGCTGGAACATGAGCCAGCATAGATGGAAAGTTGGGGAGAGGGGTACCCCATGCTCTCTTGCGGCAGAGGGAAGTTTCCACCCACAGTGGGACAGGTCCCAGGGAAGCACAGGAAGCAGGAGGATCATCCTGAAACTGCTTCTGCAGTGGCAGGTGGAGCCACCGGGAGCTCTGACATGAGTGCAGGAGCAACACAACAGCTGACCAGGTGGAAAGGGTGTTGTGGCTGCCTAGGCTGAGCTGTGTCTGAGGTTGGAACAGGAAATGGTTAATTGTGTTTGCAAATAAAAACTTTCTGTTCTATCTTGTTTTTGAAACATTTCCCAGAAGTTAAAAAAGAACACTTAATTTTATCTGCCCAATGTAAGTACCTCATTTTAAAAATTTGAATGAGATATTTCCACAATTTATTATATACAAGAATAAAGATAGATGGGTGATTTGTTAAGGTGGGGTGTCATAGGTGTTCCTGCCCCTCCCCCATTATTTTCTAAACTTTCTAGAATGTGGTTAATGCTTTAAGTGTGAAAATTTCAAATCTCCCAATATATGTGTGCATGTCTGTGCGTCTGTATGTGTGTGTAGGTGTGAATGTGTGTGCATGTATATGGTGTATGTGTTATGTGTGTTGTGTGTGGTGTGTATAGTGTATATAGTATGTTTATATATTAGGTGTAGGGTATATCTGTGTTCATATATATTGTGTTGTGTGTATAATGTATATTTGAGTTGTATGTCACATATGTTCATGTGTTTTGTGTGCGTTGTGTGTGTTGTAAATATAGTGTATGTTTTTGTGTTTGTATAGTGTGTGTATCTCTGTTCATATATATGGTGTGTGTTGTGTGTCTTGTGTAGTGTGTGTTTGTCTGCATATTGTGTGTAGCTGTGTATATGTTCACGTGTTGTGTACATAGTATGTTTCTGTGCCTGCACGTCATGTGTATCTGTGTTCATGTGTGCTGTAGTATATGTGTGCTTGTATATTGTGTATAACTGTGTATGTGTTCATATGTATAGTGTGTGTCCTTTGTATATGTGTGTGTGGGGCACTTTCTTGCCTTCTCACCCCACCCCTGTGGGCATCAGTCAGTATCACCCTGGTGGATGAGGTGTGGCCCAACCTGGGCTTTGAAGCTGACTGAGCTGGGACAGATATGCAGCTTTTGCCTGTGAATGCAGGATGCTCCCCCCAAAGGCTGCTGTCCCCACCTGCAAATGCAGAAGTCTCCCTCTCATTGTCACTTCTGCAGGATGGCCTCCTTAGTCACCAGGGCTAATGGGGTGGTTGTTCGCATGGCTCCACAGACAGTAGCAGGGCCTTTACATGCAGAGCTATCCGGACAGAAGCTGCTGCCCTGGCTGTGGGCTCTGGGAACCCCGTTCTCCTGTGGCAGCCAAGGGGCAGGCAAGGGGCAGCAGCTACATAACACATGGGGTGGAAACACACTCTTGGCCTATGGTGGGCCAAAGGGCCTGGGTGTTATAAAACTTCACACCCTCTGCTGAGATTCAGCACAGATTGCACAGCCACCAAGCCCTTTGGCTTCCACTCCTCCCTCCCAGGCAATAGTGCCTCTGCCACTCCAGCTTGAAGGGACAGGTCACTGTAGGCAACTGTGGCCGGGATGCAGCTGAGCTCTGCCTCATAGGGAGGGTTGCCTCTGTTGGCCAGCAGTGTAGAGACTGGGAAGGAGTAGGCAGGTGCTCTAGGGGTAGGTGCGGTTCCAAGTCTTCCTCCAAGTGGCCCAATATTTGTAATAGTTTGTGAAGCTGGGCATTTATGTTTAGGCATTTATGTAAACGTTATATATTTCCCACTAATAAGAAGTTTATCAGGCGGCACCTGTGGCTCAGTGAGTAGGGTGCTGGCCCCATATATCAAGGGTGGTGCGTTTGGGCCCAGCCCTGGCCAAACTGCAACAAAAAAATGGCCGGGCGTTGTGGCAGATGCCTGTGGTCCCAGCTACTCGGGAGGCTGAAGCAAGAGAATCGCCTAAGCTCAGGAGTTGGAGGTTGCTGTGAGCTGTGACGCCACAGCACTCTACTGAGGGCAATAAAGTGAGACTCTGTCTCTAAAAAAAAACCCAAGAAGTTTATCAATGAATCCCCAACAATAAAAAAAAAAGAATTAGAGGTTTTTCTGTGCTGTTTTCCTTAAAGAATAATCACTGTTGCTCAGTGCCTGTGGCTCAAGTGGCTAAGGCGCTGGCCACATACACCCAAGGTGGCAGGTTCAAATCCAGCCCAGGCCTGCCAAACAACAATGACGGCTGCAACCAAAAAATAGCCAGGTGTTGTTGTGGGCATGTGTGGTCCCAGCTACTTGGGAAGCTGAGGCAGGAGATTCGCTTGAGCCCAGGAGTTGGAGGTTGCTGTGAGCTGTGATGCCACAGCTCTCTACCCAGGGTGACAGCCTGAGGCTCCTGTCTAAAAAAAAAA